AGGAAGGAGTCCTGTACGCCCAGATGTTATACCGCCGGAGGTCCGGCGGTCACCTTTTGGTACCAACTGGTCAGTGTTTTATCAAAAATTTTACTGCAATACCTATTGTGCACTATACTGTATGAACCATAGTGTATGTTTTACTTTTGACTTTTTTATCTATACCATTAAAGTATTTGTGATTTGAAATACTACACTATGGGTATCCCCCTTTATTTTACTCTGCACCGAGCACTTTAATTTCCCAGCTATCCCCTGATGACCATCCCAATATCCGTAAGAGGGTGACCCACACATCTCCTTAAAGAGAACCACGGCTGACTGCCCTTTCCTGCGACTAAATGGAGAGCTGACTACCCCCAGGCTGTATCCAGACCTGCTCAGTGAAGGGACACCAGATAAAGCAACCTGTATATGATACAACACGCTTATTCTAAGTACATCCGGTGAGTGCGCATTTTATTCATTTCCTGCACCACCTGAGAATATCAAATCCATTGGGAGTATTTGTTTTTAAGCACTGCACTTTTTATTTGTATATTTTATCTGAAGGATTTTGTTTTTTTTTTACCTCAGTGCATTTGCTGCTATCACAACTTAGCACTCGCTTTATTTCTTTTATATAATAACTTTCCCAATGCTTGCCTCAGGGGGTGTGCAGGAAACGTGTTCTCAGGAAGATGTTTATAGATGCTCTCCCCAAATAACAATAACATTGTTGTAGCCGTCTTTTGGCTATAGCGCGGTGTTGAAGTGGTTAGGCATATCCTCCACCTCTCCCTTTAGTTCCGTCTGAGATTTTTAATACAGATGATTATGTAACTTTAATGTCGGCCATGGCAATAGGGGAAATAAGGATGTGGGAATTTTAAGCACAATACAATCAGCCTGCCAGATATATACACACTCCCAGTTGTGTGTAAACTCCCCCTCCCCCCTGTGCCTTGGTGTAGATGTGCACCACACATCAGCGGCAGCTAAAGGGTTAACCCAAAAGAAGATGTGCCAAACCAAATTCATAAAGTAGTCCAAAACAGTTTTATTGATTCACAAGTCATCCAGAGGTGAAGCAAACTCTCCCTCACATGTTTGCATAGACTCTGGGAAGCAAATGGAAAAGTTGCTTGCAAAGAAACCAGATAGGGCAGGATGATGCCAGAGAAACAACTACAATGAAAAAAGTTGTCTATTATAGTCATTCCACTTGATTCCTTTGCAAGCAATTTCTCTGGCACCTGCTTCACTGAGTACACTCAAATATTCACAAACATTGCTGAGCAGGATAACCCACTTTTTCAGGAGTGTGGGAGAAAATATATTCAAGTGTGTTCCTCTACTCAACCAAGATATACACGGTACCACATCTCATTTGAAATGTACAAATTATGAATTAAAAAGGGTATATGGGACTTTTGTGTACCTAATGACAAATTGAAATGACATAGAATACTAAAAATTTACAAATTTTATTGATGACATCATGTTAAAAAGGCTCATGAAGCCCTATGACTTATTTCACCTAGTAAATATTATAAAGACATGTAACAGAGGTACACCGTGAAATGCAGGCACCATCACATTCTAAAGACATCAAAAATTTAAAGATGAACCCCAACACATTTTTGCATCTGCCTGGTGGCCTGGCTTTGCCTTTTCCATCATGGCTGTGGCTTCTTTTCACGCAAGTCTGGATATGATGTCATGGTGTACTGGATGTGACGTCATGTGCGTTCCAGAAGGGACGTCACATGTGGAAGTGGCCAATGCTGCTTGAGGAAGCCAATGGGGGATGTACAGGAGACAATTTGTTTCCTGTGCGGGCCTGTTGAGGGCACTTTTTAGCTTCACGAGAATACCCTAATAGGCTAACTTTGGTGCCATTTCTTCATTGGCCATTTTATACCATGTGATTTTAATTTGGTACACTTATATAGGCTCTGCCCCCAGCTTCTTTACTTTTGTGTCTGAAGTGTCCATTTTGGCCATTCTGGGGGAGTGAGTTGATGGCTGCATGATCCAATTCTTGGTAAGCCATGCTTGAACTAATAGGTTGTACTTTTTAAGCAAAGGAATTGCTATCCCCCTTTGAACAAAGTTGGACATTTAGTTATTTTTTTTTTGTTTTTTTCTAAGGGAATTACATGTTTCTTCTCCTTGGGACTGCTCCACTTGGGTATTAGTGGGGCCTAAATGAACACTTTTTTGTTTTCTTTTTTGAACATGATTGAAGAAGCTTTGTGACCAGGTTTGCTGTGATCTAGGTAATATTTGTATAGCTCTGTTATACAATCCTGTGGCTTTTTGACATATCTGTTAATTTTGCTATATGTGTTGAATATACATCATGTAACTGTATCCAATCTCTGTAGGCTGTCCTTATTCTGTTTTGGCCCTGATTTATCCCTTGTGCTCCTTGTGGACCTGTGGAGAGCCCCCTCTTGAGACACTCAGACGCATTTATTTGCTGTGTATCTTGATGCTATACATTGAAAGTGAGTTAGTTTAACACTTAGACTTATGGTGTTTATTTTGAAGTACTCCAAGTGTTGTTTTATTTATTATTCTTCTCTGATTTATATATATCATTGCAGAAATCATCATAAAGAGTTACGCCTGAAGAAGACATACGCTATCTGTGGGTCAAAACGCATTGAGGTTCTTCTTTAAATGTTTGATGCTTTTAGAGTGTGATGGTCTCTACATTTTACAGTATACTACTGTTACATGTTTTTAGGATGTTTACTTGGTGTGATAAGCCACAGAGCTTCGTGAGCCTCTTTAACATGATGTCATCAATAAAATTTGTAAATTTTTATTATTTCATATAATTTCAGTTTGTCATCAGGTAACCAAAAGTCCCATGTACCCTTTTTTTCTTTGTATTCAGTACAGGAAAAAAACTATTTCACCTTGATTTTAACATAATATATTCACTGGGAGCATGGCTAAAGTCCCACAGACTAAAATAATGTCAGTACAGTGATATTGGTCTTCCACTTCGGCGCAAGCGCACATCAAGAGAGTAACTGGGGGGGGGGGGGGGAAGGACAAATTGCAGCTACAGGGAATATCTAAATAGTGAAGTTTAATTCAAGATATTTCCTGTGTGAAGCATATTTCCATAATGCCCAAAAGTGACATATACCCAGAACACTATAACAGTGATAACTATGGATATTGCTGCCCACCTGCTGGGCAACCACAGAAGTAAATTAAGATCTCGGGGAAAGGGTGGTAATTGTCAAGAGATGCAGACCACATAGGTCCAAAAATGAACAGGGTTTTTCCTGTGAATGTTAGGATTATATAAACAACATAAGTAAACCAAATCATGCAAAAGTATCTTTGTATACAAAATCTATATGGACAGGTGCATACCTATACACATGCCATATACCTCTGTATCATATATGTTGTATGATATTTATCTGTGTCTGAGGAACTTTTCAAAAGCTGGGCTTGTGTTTCAACATCTGACTCACTAGAACAGTTTCCACATAATGTAGATATTGGCCTACAACGATACTTCTTAACACATGTTTAGGATGTGCACTCTCTGCGTTCAACAAAGAATTCCTCACAGTGTCCTTCCTGAAAAGGTTAGTAGAAATACTAACATCTGGGTTCTTAGAACTGGTAAAATCAAGAAAAGGTAGAGACACATGATCAAAGTTAAGAGTGAATTGAAGATTCCACTTCATACTATTGAAACAGCTACATATTCCATCAAATGGGGAGAGGACATCTTTGTGGAAATCCAGTACTTTACCGGGAGACACTTTGTGAGTGGGTATTTAAGGGTATGTCCTTGAGAGGCCCAGGGGCTATAAGATGAACTGGTAGATTAGACTTCTTTCTTTCCATCCTTGGCAGCACATGTAGAAGAATACTGGCCAGTTGAGCTGAGAACTACACTGTGACTGGTAGGTTAAACAGGCCATGCTGGTAGATCATGTTCATATTAGAGAATGGCTTATTCACTCATTGGTGTGGAATAGTTTGCTAATCAGCCATTTCCTGTAATGTTTGATCTTTCTAGAGGGGCCAGCTTGAAGTACACACAAGGAACAAATATATTTCCTTAACACTGGATTACATTTTACATAGTTACATAGTTAGTCTCGCTGAAAAAAGACAAAAGTCCATCCAGTTCAATCATTAAAAAAAAATAAAAAAATGTATAATCCTATACCCACAGTTGATCCAGAGGAAGGCAAAAGAGTAACTGGGGGGAAGGACAAATTGGAGCAGCAGGGAATATCTAAATAGTGGAGCTTATATCAACTTTCTTTGTACATCAGTATCTGGTCTGTGTTTCATTTAACATCTAACTTCTCCCCTTCTTTGTATGATGGGATGAAATATGCCATGATGCTATTTGTTGAATATTGCCAGCTTTTGGATGCTTGACTTAAGCTGCATTTTATACTGGGGTAAGTGTGAAGTGGTAGGGATATTGACATACTGTATATCTGAAGTGACTGGGAATTGCCCATTGGAGGGTTATTATTCCATTTGTTAACTACCGGTATACTTCACTCAGTTTATCCGTATTACATATGTTAAGTTCTTTAGGATTGGAAAAGCTGTCCTATCTCCTTTTCATCAAAGGTCCCTTTCTTATGCCTCCCTGAAGCCTGGATGGATACATTTGCACCCTGGCATAATCCATATTGTTTTGTAAGTGGTTTCATTGTTGGAGTGAATTCTGTATATGGGTTTAGTTTTTTTGGTTAGCTTTTTTAGCTCTTTTTTTTTCCTCTTTTCCTTTAGTGTTTATTTATCTTTTTATCACCCTTCACCCCCCCCCCCCCCCCCCTCATTTGGGCCAGAAAATACATTGGTTGATTTCTTTTGTAATGATTTACCAATGCATGTACTGTATACTGTATTTTTCGCTCCATAAGACTCACTTTTTTTCCCCCAAAAAAAGGGGGGGGGGATGTCAGTGCGTCTTATAAAGCGGCCGGTCCGGTATTTCTGCCGCCACCATGTCAGAATATCGGGCCGGCTGCTCAGCTCTTCTCTCCTGCAGGACCTTAGCTGTTCCTCGCTCCAGTGCTGTAGTCTTCCCGCACAGGCTTCTGTGACAGCCGGGTGCCAACTGCGCATGCTCGAGAAGCGCTGCACTTTGTGAATGGTCCGGTGTCTTCTGGGACACATGACAGGTGTACTGTACTCCTGTATTGTGTCCGCAGTCTCTGGTCATCTTCTGTACTGTGTTCGCAGTCTCTGGTCATCTCTTGTACTGTGTCCGCAGTCTCTGGTCATCTCCTGTACTGTGTCCGCCATGCAATGCTGAACCCAAATTAAATATATGTCCTTTTTTTCCCACAAATTGAGCTTTTTTTGGTGGTATTTGATCGCCTGTGCGTTTTTTTATTTTTTGAGCTATAAAAAAAAGGCTGACAATTTTGAGAAAAAAATAATATTTTTGACTTTTTGTTTTTAAACATTTCCAGTAAAAAAAATTAAAAAAATAAAATTTCAGCATAAATTTACACCAAAATGTAGTCTGCTACATGTCTTTGCTAAAAAAAAAAAAATCCCAATATCTGTAAATTAATTGGTTTACTTGAAACTTATATTGTTTACAAATGGCTGTATATATACTTGGATTATTTAAAAAAATTTATTTTTACTAGTAATGGCGGTGATCAGCGACTTATAGCGGGACTTTGGCAGACATTCTGACACTGGGGGGGACTGACTTAGTGTCACTGACATCCCCAGTGACACCAAAAGTGATCAGTGCTAAAAAAAAAGCACTGACACTGTTCTAATGGCACTGGGCAGGAAGGGGTTAACATGAGGGGCGATCAAAGGGTTAACTGTACAGCGCTGAGCGAACTGTTGGCGCTATATAAATAATGTATAATAATAATAATAACTGTGTGCGGGGAGTGTTTTACTAGGGAGACGTGCCAGTGTGCTTCACTGTAATCACATTGCTTTGGATGGCTGTGCACAGCACAGCCATCCAGAGCAGTGTGCCCGAGCTGACAGGGAGGAGTAAACAAAACAGTCCTCCTCCCCATCGGAGATCTTTGGAAATCACAGGGCGCCGGCAAGTAATTACTGCCTGGGACCAGGTATTTGACAGCCGCAGCCACGAATGGCAGCGCGGGTAGGGTGCGTGCGCTCCTGACCCGAAAATGCAAAATCACATATATATACGTGATTTTGCGCACCTCTGCCTCTGACGGGAAGCAGTTAAAAGACCCGGGGAACACCAGGAGAGCGTTAATGCATCTGGTGCAGCTTTCTATGGTGAACAATAGATGTGGCCAAACTGTTAACAGTGGAAGAGGCTTAAGGGGAATAGTTTTAAGGAAAATCTGAGCCTCCTTGGAATTGTAAAATATGCTCTGATTTCTGTGCCCCACAAATATAGCACAATAATAAAAAAAAAAAAAAAAAAAAACCTGTCATTACATACTGTATGCTTTCATTTACACTGAAAATATACAGAGAGTTAACACTTTGTCTGAGCCTGCCTACAAGGAAAACATTAGCAAACACCAACTGTTGAGGCAATGAATACTTTGGTGAACCGTGTACAATATAGAGCATCCTCTATCGTACAGGAGTATGTAAGGCACAGAGTTTAGGAGTACAAAACATATAGCAAAAAAATGGTCATGCAGGGGAAAGGAGTGTATTATTCACAGAAGGGGTCAGGAGTACAAAACAAAGAGTGTAGGAGTCTGGAGTGTATAACACACAGTGTAAGCGTCAGGAGGGCACAAATTCTCTTCCACCCTCCAAATCCCCCACTCCATGCACAAATACTCCTCCACCCCCCATTCCCCCTCCAAGAATAAAGTCTCTCTCCAATCTTTTCTCCCAGCAAAATTTCTCTCCGCCTTTTATCACAAATCTTATCCCCCTCCAATCCCCCCTCCCAGCACAAATCCTCTCTCCTACAAATCCCACTTTTAGTTCAACTCCTTTTCCATTTCAAATCAGAGTCAGGGGTGTGTAACACATATGGTCGGGGTCAGCAGAATGCAAAATTCCCCCAACAAGCAATAATCTCCCCAATTTACCCTTTCAGCAAATAGCCTAACTCCCCCCCGCCCATAAAAGTCCAGCATTTTTCTGCCTGCTCACCCCTTCTAGCACAAATCTGTGCCTCTCAAATTTCCCCTTTCCAGCACAAATTTTCTGCCCCCAATATTTCCTTTTAGCTCAAATCCTCCTCCCCCCTTTCCCTCTCCCAGTACAAATCCACTGCAGCATACATTCCCCCCAATGTATAAAAACTATCTTCCTCCCCAAATCCCCTTTCTATTACAAATCTTCTTACCTTCCAAATACTCCCCCCCCCCCAGTCTACCCTTCCAGCAGAAATCCTTTTCTCCCCTCAAATCCCTCCAGCTCAAATCACCCCAAATCCCCCACCCAGCATAAATCCTCCCCTCTCCCCTCCTTGTGCACAAATTCTCTTATTCCATCAACCATTGTCCTCCTCACAGCACAAATCTTCTTCCCTACAAATCTCCCTCCCAGACAAAATCCAACCCCCCCCCCCCCCCCTCCTTTCTGGTACAAATCCTCTTCCCTCCACATTCCCTCACAGCATAAATCATCCAACCCCCCTCCCCCAAATCTCCGCTCCAAGCACAGACCTCAAATACAAAGTTACCCAATGCCAGTAGATGTTCTCTCTCTTAGGCTTCTCCTCACACTCTGTCATAAGATAAGTCAGAGCTGAGGTGGAGCCTAGGGGAAGCTTACCTTGGTGCCAACATTTACTATTTCACTGTTGTGACAGTTGGCAGTATCAGTTTCATACAGCATTTAAAGCAAAAACAGCCTCGTGGCTATATATAAGCGCACCTCACTGAGATCAGAAACTATAACTCCAGGTGTTGGGTTGGTCAGTGCAGGCAGACACACGTCCATCGGATGTCCATCACTTGCTGCTCCCTGGCAGCACGATGGTCTCCTTGGTAGGGTGGAGCCCTAAGCCATGGTCATCCACTACACTAAAAGAGCTGCACAATCAGAATACTAGTTGTCCACAATACCTGGACCAGCACTGGAAGCTGACGTTAGACATTGATTGGCTGCCATTCACCGGATTCTGAGTGCACCAGTCTTAGTAAATATACCTCATAGTGGCCAGCTAAAGACTGCGCCTGCTAGCACCAAATTTGAGCGGAAACTGGATACTATTCCAACACAAAAATAAACAAGGTGCTGTGGCAAGCACAGTCTTAGTGGGTGTGCACTTTGCACAGGGTCTGCTGGCATAATAACGCAAGGGTTGGGTAAGAAGCGGGCCAACTTATGAGTCCAGCTAAACATAAAGAGAAATTTTAGTAAATTTCCAATAATCAGAGTGAGGTGACCAAGTTTCAGGGATGCAGGCAACAGCAAGGGTGATCAGATCAGTAGGCTGCACCTTAACATGTTACTAAACCCAGGACCCTGCATTCACTCTATCTGGTCTCCCACAGTACACACAACATTGAAATGCAATTATTTTAGTAAATATAAACTGCTAAATACCTTTTCTCATCAGCAGTATATAGTAATTTTGTGACTTATATCAGTGTTCAGAGAAGCGGTGGTTAAAGCTAGTAGGAGTTTTCTTTCTGCTCTAGCAGGTTGCGGAACCACTGACCTCTGTCTGGACAGTGCTGATTGGCCCTGTGCTGATCACATGCGCTCTCCCAAGAAAAAAAAAAACAACTCTCTAGCAATACACACCAAACTGAGCATATGCAGAGTGACTCCACGCAACATTTCTTATCAGGAGATAAGAGGGGGACACTGGAAGAAAAGGAGGATCAGAGAAGTCAGGATAAAAACAGCGGTTTTACACAATACAGAGGACTAACCCCTTAGATTCCACAGTGAGTATAACATGCACACTTTACTGCACATAGAGACTGATTTTACTGTTGTGGGTTTAGCAACACTTTAACCACTTCAAGACCGGACACTTTCACCCCCTTCCTGCCCAGACCAATGTTCAGCTTTCAGTGCTATCACACTTTGAATGACAATTGCGCTGTCATGCAACACTGTATCTATATTAATTTTTAGCATTTTTTTGAGACAGATAAAACTTTATTTTGGTGGTATTTATTCACCACTAGGATTTTTATTTTTTTTATATATAAATGAAAAAGTCCAAAAATTTGAATAAAAGTGTTTCTCTTATAATATTTTGCAAATAAACAATCTTTCTTCATAAATCTTGGCCGAAATGTATTCAGCTATATTTTTAGTAAAACAAAAGTAACCCAAATTAGTTTATAACCAAAAATTATAATTTTTCTAAATTTTTTTACATTTTTTTTATATTATTATTTATGTTTTTTTTTTTAACATACTGTCACCCTAGCAGTACAGTTTCACCTTATTTTTTTTCTTTTTTATACACTGATTGCTTTTATACCCATAAAGGATGTAAAAGCAATCATTTCTATTTCTCTCTGGCTGCATTCTTGCAGCCATTGAGAGATACTGTAAGAGCTGTGATTGGTCACAGCTTGTCACATGGTACTAGGCTGTTGTGAATAGCCTTGTACCATGTGACCTCTGTGATCATTCACAGGTTTCACAAGTAGTAAGCAACGATGTCAGGAAGTGACATCTTGTTTACTACTGCTCATGTGATCACTGATTGGCCAATCAGTGATCACATGAGCAGTAGTAAACAAGATGTCACTTCCTGACACATGAATCGGGACCTCACACAGAGGTCCCGTACAGCGATCCCAGGGAGCACGCACAGGCAGTAAATGCGGGCGACCTTTAGAAAAGTCAACCTCCTTTGGCAGCGCTCCTGTCCGGCCTTGTATAGACATGGGCCGGAAGTGAAATGGCTAAGGAATCATGAACCAAACTGAATAAGTTTCAAATAAATTTATTGAGACAAACAACACACTTCCAACATCAGTAAAACATAAACAATGCAAGTGACAAAATAAAAGTGAAAAACCCCAATTAACAACCTACCTAACTATATACAAAATGGAGGGAGCACACATGGTGGGACAAGGTCAGGAAAGGGACAGGAGACAATGGGAGCAGGGAGCAAGTTACTGGGAACATGAAGCAGAATACAGGGAGCAGGTCACAGAAGCAGGACGCAGGGTCAGGTGCAAAGATCAGGAACAAGGCTCAGGCAGGGATGTGGCTTGCAGAAAAAATAGTGAAGCCCTGAACCTCAGCTATGGGCAGAAATACACCTTTCGATTCCAGGAATAATAGTGCCACCAGCAGGTGACCCAAGTAATGACACCAGTCCAGACGCCAAGGCGTTAGATGATTCAGGAAAGTGTGTATACAATCGAAGGAACAAACATTCATGTAGAGTTATAAAGTTGAGACTGGTGAGTTGAGAGTGGGTAGTTCCAGGTCTTATGATTTATGTCAGTAACGGTTAATGACATCAGAAGTGTATGAAGAAAGGCGAAAGAGATTTGCTTTATGACAAGCATAATGCATTTTGCTATGTTGGAAAACTTCAAGAAGTAAAGGTAGTGTGTAGAAGATTTCCGCAATTTCTGTAAGAATCCTTGTCTATTTGCTGCATTGTGGAAGCCCTGGAAGGACAGGTTTACATGGTCAATCTGGAGGGAATATCTGGGGTTACTCATACATACCCAAAAAGCAAGGAAGATCACCTGGGGTTTTAAAAGCATTAGATTTACCATCTTTGGAGACAAACAACTGATATGGGTAACCCTAGCACTATGTTATGTTGAATTTCCCTTTTTCCTTTAGAAGGATCTAGGTTTTTAGGTCCCCAGCCCTGTCAATAAGTATTTTGTTGCCAGTTGGTTTTTGTAGTACCTAAAAAAATGCTGTTACTGTGTAAAATAGATAACTTTTTTAAACAGCTTTGGGAGACCCCAGATGCAGATATTAGGAGGGCAGTGATGTCATCATGCTGGGCGGAGCCAGGAGCCATGCAGTAGTGCTATGAGATATGCCTATTGTTTTCTTCCGAAATGTGGATGTGATTTTAACTGTTTAACCACTTGCCAATCGCAGATAGCCAAATGACAGCATCACTGCGGCCGACCAGCTCTGGGAGGGCGTCGTATGACGTCCTCCCAGAACGCGCCCTCCTGCATGTCCCGGGGGCATGCACCCTGCGATCTCCATGATTGCTGTGTCCTACGGACACAGCTGATCACGTGAGGTGGTAAAAGGCAAATCAAAGCGACCTTTTACCACGTGATCAGCCGTGTCCAATGACACAGAAGATCACCGGTAAATGCATTTGCCAGTTATCGGCTGCACTTTCCTCATGCTGTCACAGCGTGAGGAAAGTACTGCCGATAACCATCAATTGTCAGAGGAGGGATCGTCACCGATCATCAGGGCACTGATGATCAGTGCCCTGATGATTGGAGTTCAGCAGTGCCACCCACCAGTGCTGCCCATCTGTGCCCAGCAGTGCAGCTCACAAGTGCCCAGCAGTGCCACCCACCTGTGCCCAGCAGTGCCACCCAGCAGTGCCACCCGGCAATGCTACTCATCAGTGCTGCCTAGCAGTACCACCCATTAGTGCCCAGCAGTTTAAATTAATACCACTTCCTAAATAAATAAATTAAAACTCAAACTCAACTCCCCCACAGCACAATCACCACCTTCACCCCCGAAGGTGTAAAAATAATATAACAATGAATATGCTACAATATAGTTGAAAATTTCCCTACAATTCAAGTGAAAATAATAATGAATATACCACAATATAATTGAAAAAGCTCCCCTAAAGTTCAAGTGAAATCAAATCCCAAAAATTGTCCAAAATATCAAAAAGGAAGCACCAATATGTCCCTCCTGTGTAATCGAGATGAAATAAGTGTGTCCAAAGAAAAAAATATCCTCCCAACGGTTTCCACGATGAATATTACCTCAAAAAAAGAAGAAATACCACATAGTGCATTATCCTTTTATGATTTAAACATTAATAAATGACATCACTCTAGTGAATATCCCAAAAACTTTGCAGTGAAAAATTAATGAAAAAATGTGAAACAGTGAAACCCCACTGTGTATGTGAATCACTGTTCAGTGCCCAAAATCAAGCAAACACAGTGTACACTTCTAATTGGAATAAGGAGTGGGTACCCTTACCAACAATCCAAAATAATAAGGCCTATAATGTAATCCAATCAATGGTGACAAAATGGCCCTCCTGTAGATCTCCACAAGGCCTACACAACCTCCACGGCAATACCTGGATACATCAACCATAGTACTCCATGTGCCCCCATACACCTTGCTCCATCCAGATGCCCATATATGAAGGATAAGAATAGTGTAATACCGCCAAGATAACTGAATAAATGAGCTTTAATAAAACTGCTCACATAATTACAGCCTTTAAAACCACCTAATATATCTGATAAAACCTTTCTGCCATCCAGGAAACGTCCAGGCTCTTTCAGATGCTCCTTTCCACTTTCCAAAATGGCCGCCGGTGTACGTCCGGTTTCAGTGTACGTCTGATGTCACTTCCCTTGATGCAGCGTTTCGTCTTTGACTTAATCATAAGGGATACAATCGTCAGACAAGGAAGTCCTATTTATCCTCCCCCTCTACATAGCGCCAGAACAAGTACCGCCATGTTTAGGAGGTGAACAATTCCCTTACTACCCAATATACAATCAGAGGAATACCAAACACTGGAAAACCTTAATATACATATAGCGCAGTACTCTATAATAACAATATTAGCATTAAAATCCTATATCCACATACAATTACAATTAAAATAATAAATAAAATTAAATAAAAAGAAACAACTATAAATATAATACACACATTTACCTTGCATCATAATTACAATTTCATTAGAATACTAATTAATGGGACACTGATTATTAAAGAGGAACTCTACCTAATCTCAATACATCCAATTGAAGTTATGGAAAACTCAAATTAAAATCAATGAACTATATACCAATTCCAAATCTAACCATAACTTAAAATTCTCTAAATGATCTTTAAATAAAGCTACAAATATAAATTTTAAAATTAATAAAATTATTAGAAGTGATCAAAATTATTATACCATATGATATCAAATATTGCTGATTATTTTCTACTAAAATTATTCCTATAATCATAATTAAAATTTTTACATACTAAAATATAATAATAAATATTTAAAACACCATACACTCCAAACTTAATAATTTTTAAATTCTAGCAACAGCCCACATTAAAAATTGGAAATAAAGCAATTCAGATCTAGGTCTACATTCAAACCCCTAGGTCTTAAAGTTTGTAGCTCGTATATCCAAAATGTCTCGTTTTTAGAGATAACCTTAATCTTATCACCCCCCTTCAATGTGTATCTATCCTATCAATTCCACTAAACTTTAGAACACTTGTGTCACAATTGTGACAATCCCTGAAATGCCTCGATAGACAGTGGTCTTTTTTACCTTTTTTAAATGTTCGTAACATGTTCACTCAATCTTTTCTGTAATGGCCTCGAAGTTCTGCCTACATACTGCAGCCGACAAGGGCATTCTAATAAATACATAACGAAGGGGGTAGTGCAAGTAATAAAATTCTTAATATTATAACTACTACCCGTACAACATGAAGTAAAACCTGAAATCACTCTCGTTTTAATATTGGTAACTCTGCAGATACTACATTTTCTACACGGATAAAATCTTTAAAATCAAACATGCGCTTTTTCTTTTGTTTGGGAGGAGATATAATATTTTTTACTAGAACATCTCTTAAATTTTTAGTTTTCCTATAGATAAATGTAGGCTTTTCTGGAATATTTGGTCCCAAAACACAATCTTTTCTTAATAAGGACCAATATTTACAGAAAACGGATTCAATTTCTTTATATTGGCTATTATAACGCTCTATTTATGTGAAAAAAATGATAAAAATTTCATATGGGTACAGTGTTGTATGACTGTGCAATTGTCACTCAAAGTGCGAAGGCGCTGAAAGCTGAAAATTGGCCTGGGCACGAAGGGGGTATAAGTTCCTGGTAGGCAAGTAGGTATTAAAACTGGATTAGCGATCTGCACTATTTGGTCTACTTGTTGCTTTCCCTTTCCCCGTTACTTCTGGAGCTGATGATTTGATGATCTGGGTGTGTGCAGATATCGAGACGAGCAGTTTTCTTGTGTTAATAAAGTGCAATTGACCTCCTATAGCTCAGTGATGTCCTGCAGAGGAGGTGAGAGGACACCTATGAAGTGTAGTGAAGGGCACTGTGGTGTGTTTAATGTGAAGATCATCTTCTGGGAAGAAAATTTGTCTATGATTTCACGATTATTGGATTGCGTATGGGACTTTTATATAAACGTGATGTTTATTGTTTGAATTTATATTTTTAGTGATTGAGTGTCACTATGCACTAGTATACATTTCAGGGAGGAATCTAATATGAGCTAATTATATACCAATTTTCAAAGGAAAAATCTCCTGCAGTGTAAATCTCCTCTTGGGCTAGGGGAAAAGACGCTCTGAGCAGTTGGGGATAGGAGGGAGCAGATACATGCTGTGAAGGAAATGCCATCATCTTGTATACACAGGCAGACATAGAGCAATGTGGCTCTGAAAGCATGTGTAGTAGCCAGTTGCATCTGGCAGGTCAGTCTTTAACAGCAGTAGTTTTTTTAGTAGTGGGTGCCCCTTGTGGCATCACTGGCAAGCCACTCTCCCTCCCCCAACATATGTTAAAATACTTTTTTTAAATCTATTTTTAGCTCTCGCTATTTGGCCAATGAACTTGATAATAAATAATATTTTAGAATATCATT